GGAACTCGAGAGTCTCTGACGACTTTTTTTTACTCGGCAAGTTTTACTCGACTCGACTCGATCGAACATTTCATGGAAAATCACCCTCAAAACTCGCCCTAAACGAGCCCAAAAAAACGAATCGAGCAAAACTCGACTCAAATGCTCATGTCTACGCTGCGTAATGAACATGACGGGCACACCTGGCACCTGTAAAGAGAGATCGGGGCGAATGGGGGAGATGGCCACCCACCACAACACGAGTGACAGTCTGGGAAGATGGAGAGTGGCCTAAGTTCAACCGCCTCAACAGTAACATTTCCGAGAGAATTGAGATCCGTGAACGACAAGAGTTCACATGCATACATGAGGGAAAGGCATCACATCGTGCGGTGCTCGGATGGCAAGGGGCATATGGCTCTATCACATATATCAAGTCCCCCTCTTCGATGCTGGACGCGTGCGTATGAGAGTGGGTGAGTGAGAGAGAGCGTGAGCACGTGAGAGCATGCGTGCATGCGTGCATGCATGCGTGCGTGCGTGTCAGCTTGCGTGCATGCGCGTGTGTTGGCGCGTGTGCGCGTATGTCAGCGCGTGTGCGCACGTGTCAGCGCGTGTGCACGTGTGTCAGCGCGTGTGCTAGCACGTGTGCGCGCATGTCAGCGCGTGTACACGTGTATCAAAGTGTGCGTGAAGGTGTGTGCCTGTCTGAATGCACGAGCTCTCACCTTGCGGATGCGGCGCTTGAGGTCACGATCGCACATGGCCACTATGTAGCAATTGTGCTGCCACAGACGGACATGGGGGCAGAGGCAATGGGGTATGAGAAAGGGGGCAGAGGCGATGGGGTATGAGAAAAGGGGCAGAGGCGATGGGGTAGGGGAAAGGGAGCAGAGGCAAGGCGCTAGAGGAAAGGGGGCAGCGGCAAGGGGGTATGAGAAAGGGGGCTCAGGCAAGGTTGTAGATGGGAAAGGGGGCAGAGGAAAGGGGGTAGAGGAAAGAGGCATGGGGTGGGGGCAGGGCCAAGGGGGCAGAGGCACATGGGCAGTCGGCACACAGAAGACACGGATGTGGAGTGGTGCCGAACAAAGTGCAACCGTGGAAGGCTTGACTGTGGAAGGCAGTGATTGAATGAACACATACCCACCTGAGTGACTCGCTGCACCAGGCAGTCGTCGGCATATGTGCCTGCATGGCTGCATGGCAGGTGCAGGAACAACGGCATTTGGCTATCCTGCACATGAGGTGTACAGGGAGAGAGAGGGGGAAGAGCGGGGGCTGGTGAGGAGACTTTTTGTTATAGCCACACTAGGCTTCAATGTGCCTAAAACGAAAGATAGAGTGCACAGTCGGATTTCTGCACAGCGGCTTTAAACGTTCATAGCGATCTGCTCACAACTCCAAATGACTTCATTAAACTTGGATCTGGAGCGCCTTAACGTTGCCTACACTAGGCAATTTAGATCGCACGATTTCATGAAGAATTGACGACACAGCGTCGGTTTGAACGAACGGCACTATGGCAGCAACATAGTCTTAGAACACAACTTAGGAAGAGTTAGCAAGGGTTACGAGTTGGGAATGACTCCCAGCTCCTAGAAACCCCAAGAGCCGAGGTACAGTGATGTGGAACAGTGCCACACTGTCCCCAACCACCAAGGGTCTCGAAACTACCCTTCACAAGGGCCTACACGAACTGAAATGTTACACTACACAAAGTAATGTAACTATCTTCACTATCTTGAGGTGTACCCTTTTGGCGAGCTTCGAAATCTCTTGAAGCTTGCAACCAAGGCTCGGGTTCTTCATCACAAACTCATCCTCGAGTTCTTGATGGGTCTGCTGCACACACCTGCGACACGCCGAACGTTCGACAAGCGACAAAATAGAAACCGCGCACGACAAAATAGAAACCGCGCGGAACACACAAAATGACCGCGTTACACGCGACTAGCGATAATTCGCTATAGACTTGACACACACACACACTCGACATCATGACCCATCATACACACAATATTATGAGCATGAAATATATATTTATTTCATGCGCTCATTCCATTCCATGCACACACGCATGCACGCACACGGACAACAAGCCGAGTGCAAACCGTAGGGTTGCACCAACACTTTTGAGTCGACTCAAAAGGCATGGCGGCATGGCAGGCGCATGAATGATGGCGACTTGGCTATTCTGCATGTGCAAGCACGGGGATAGGGAGTGAGAGAGATGAAGGGTGGAGGGTGGGAGAAAGAAGACATGTGTTAGAGTGAGAAGGCAACGAGAGCAACGCAGACATGAACAATCGAGAAAAGTGAAATCCTGCTTGGCACTCATATGGCTGCCTTGGATCTGCCATGCCCTCCTGCGATTCCCCACTACTTAACACGCTTGCGCTGCTGCCTCCTGTGTGCGCCCGTTCTGCCTCCAACCTCCCCAGCACAGGGGCAGAACCGAGAGCTGCGAGATGAGGGGTGTGTTTTGAGTCGTCTCTCCAATCTCTCCAGCACAAGGGCAGAACTAAGAGCTAAGAGATGAGGGGAAGTGTGTGATTGAGGCTAGAGAGAAGAAGGGGAGTGTCTGTTGAACCGCGAGAGAAGGGGAGTGCCTGTGTGAACCGGGAGAGATGAGGGTGTGAGGGAGAGGCCGACAAGGGAAGGAAGGCTTGAGGGAGGGCAGGACAAGGTGAAAAAACGGCCGAAATTTTGAAATGTTGACGTATAATAAGATATTGTAAGTTTTTATTGTGTTGTGAAAACTGTCGTTTTTTTACGGCCGAACTTTTGAAACCAATTGGTGCGTGCGTGCGTAGCTGTGCGCGCGTGGCCCGGGGCAGCGGGGCGCGCGTCGCGCGGGGCAGGGCAGCGCAAACGCGCGGGGCAGGGCAGCGCACGGCGTGCAGGGCAGCGCAAAGGCGCGGGGCATGGCAGGGCACGGCGAGCAGGGCAGCGCGACGGGTTCAGCAAAAACAGCAGAAAATGCGCCAGCCAGAAATTCCGCGCCAGCAGGAGAAAAAGCCGACATGTATGATGGCGGATTTGGTGAGCCCATCAAAGTAGGTCCTAGGTAGAACCTTGCTCTGATACCATGTTGAAATATCCTTAGTAGGCTATGACTTAGGTTAGGAGAAAGGTGAGCTAGGGAAGTAGTGAGAGAAATCTTGGCCAAGAAAAGAGAGGCTCGCTATAGCATGAGATACTACAAGATATAGCGAAAGCATAGCAAGTGTGCACCACCAACAATAGGCAGAATGACTACACTACGATCTAACCGCAAGCAGGTATACAACAGATATATATAATATATCTTGACAGGTGAGGTTGCGTGCAGCAGTATGGGAGTGGGTTGGTTAGACGCGTGGGTTGTACCGTGGGTAGTGTAGTGTGTCGTATAGACATGCTTGCTTACCGTAGTAGCAGGTCAGTATCCCGACAGCAAGCACAGTTGCATGTGAGCGGGCTTTCTGCCCCTCCATTCTCATTTCTTTCCTCTTGACTTGACACCAGCTTTGCTTCATGTACAAGACATGCATGCACGCCACTTGCTATCAGCATCTCTCACCCTCATCCCACTAGCATCGCTCAATGCAGCTATCACATGCCGCGTCGTGGGGAGCGTGTCCCGCACACTAGGCAGGCAGAACGGCACTCGCTGTGTCCTCTCAAACAGCCATGGAGTCAAAACACGCTTGAAATCATCAAAGCTAGTGGCTAGTAGTGCTTCCCAATCCACCTGTTGTGGTTTGGTCGGGGGTGGAGTGGGGTGAAGGAGGATATGCTGATCAGCCACCGATTCACGTGCAGAAGCGGAAAGGTGAAAATTAAGGCTCCACCAGCAGCATTTAGAAGCGAGAAGAAAAGGATGGATGGATGCAAACATGTTGCTCGAACAGCAGCAATCGGAATGAGACCTGGGAGAGGAAGGAAGAGGCGGTACAGAGTCCTATGCAGCATCGACTCACGAGGAGGTCCCGAGGAACATGCGTAGTGGTTTGCATGTCAGCAGCCATGGAGAGGCCGAGGATGGACATGAGACCCACCATGGCCGACCCGCGAGACAGCGGCATCAGCTGGAACCTGCAGGTCACAGAGAGGGGCGTGTGGACGGGTCGAGGATACACAAGAACAACGGGAGTCATGTCAACAGCCGTGGAGAGGCCGAGGATGGACATGAGACCCACCATGGCCGACCCACGAGACAGCGGCATCAGTCAGCGGCATCAGTCAGTGGCATCAGCGTGCGTGTGTGTGTGTGTGTGTGTGTATGTGTGTGTGTGTGTGTGTGTGTGTGTGTGTGTGCGTGTGCGTGTGCGTGTGCATGTGCGTGTGCGTGTGCGTGAGCGTGAGCATGAGCGTGCGCGTGCGTGTGCGTGTGGGTGTGCGTGTGGGTGTGTGTGTGTGTGTGTGTGTGTGTGTGTGTGTGTGTGTGTGTGTGTGTGTGTATCTTTCTTGGGTTGTACTTTAGAGGCGCTTCAATAGCAGGCGATGGCGAGAATCTGATCATGTATGCGCCGCTGGTGATATCCATACGGGTGGCCAGCAGGCAGACCCACCAGTAGTAGGCGATGGCAAGGATCTGATCCTGGATGCGCTGGCAGTACACGTACTAAAGGATGCCCATGTGGCCTGGCTGGTGTGAGGAGGACCCACCAGTAGTAGGCGATGGCGATGATCTGATCCTGGATGCGCTCGCGGTACGCCTGTGGTGACGTGGCCTTGGTGCCGTGGTCCAGTGCAGCCGCCATGAAGCCCTGCCACGCCGCTGTGAGCTCCGAGTCGAATGCATTCCACCGCGTTGAGTCGATGGGGGTCACTGTCTCAAAGTCCACTGCTAAGGGACTGAGGGCGGAGGGAGGGAGGGGAGAACGGGGTGTGTGATGGGATGAGAACTGGTGCGGTGGTCCAGTGCGGCTGTCATGACGCCCTGCCACGCCGCTGTGAGCTCCGAGTCAAATGCATTCCACCGCGCCGCGTCGACTGTCGTTGGGGTGCAGCGCGTTGAGTCGATGGGGGTCACTGTGTCAAAGTCCACTGCCAGGGGGCTGGGTGGATGGGGGAGTGTTGATGGGGGGTGGGTGTGGTGGAATGGGGAGAAGAGAGAGGGGAAAGACGTGGTCCAGTGCGGCCTCCATGACGCCCTGCCACGCCGCTGTGACCTCCGAATCAAATGCATTCCACCACGCCGAGTCTACTGTGGTGAACATGTCAGAGTCCCTTGCCAACGGGCTGGAAGAGGGGGGGTTGATGGGTGAAAGTGATGTGAATATGAGAGGAGAGTGTGGAGCCGCAGTCTACCTCCCCTGGTGTACTTTGGCGCACGTGTCAAAGCCCCCTGCAAACGAGCTGGGAGAAAAGAGGGTGGAAGATGATGGGGTGGTGATGATGTGATTGGTAGAGGAGAGGAGAAAGGGAACGGGTAAGGAGAAGAGGGCAAGGGGAGGATTCGAGTGTACAGATGTATGTACGGGTGCATGTGTGTTGTGTATATGTCCATGTGTGCATGTGTGCATGGCGTGTGCAAGAACCACACGACTCACCGTTTTTGTAATTTGAACTCTGTGCCGCCCAAATCTTTCCTGCACGGGAGGGTGGGCGGGAAGGGGCCATGAATGAGGATTAAGAGCCAGAACAGAACAGGTGCATGCAGCTGGCATGGGAGGTAGGGGGAAGGGTGCAGATGAGAGCATGAAAGCATCTTGAGCGTGAAAGCATCTTGAGCATGAAAGCATCTTGAGCGTGAAAGCATCTTGAGCATGAAAGCATCTTGAGCGTGAAAGCATCTTGAGCATGAAAGCATCTTGAGCGTGAAAGCATCTTGAGCATGAAAGAATCTTGAGCATGAAAGCATCTTGAGCATGAAAGCATCTTGAGAATCAAAACATCTTGAGCGTGAAAGCATCTTGAGCGTGAAAGCATCTTGAGCGTGAAAGCATCTTGAGCGTGAAAGCATCTTGAGCATGAAAGCATCTTGAGCATGAAAGCATCTTGAGCATGAAAGAATCTTGAGCGTGAAAGCATCTTGAGCATGAAAGCATCTTGAGAGTGATGTGGCGTGCTGTAGCATGGCAGACGCACTAACCCTGGGAATGCCCGGCTGTAGCATGGCAGACGCACGTAGAAGTCCCGGCCAATCACGTTGAAGAGCCCCTTGTGATCCTCCGCTGCTTCCAGCTGTTGGAATGTTCAGAGAATGTTCAGGGAGCGTTGGTAGTAGCACTTTAGTCCCACTGTAAAACGAGTTGCACTGAACAGATGGGGTCCATGGGAGCATAGGGCCAATGAGAGGCATGGCAGGCATGTGAAAGGGTGGTATGGTTGACATGAGAGTACACACCTGGGCGCCGAAGGTGGAGCGAGGCACGTCCAAGGGCTGGTGCGAGTCGGCATCAAACGCCCTCTCTGCCTGCAGCAGGCCGCTCCTTGTGACGTTCACCGCCCTGTGAGTGACACAAGGGCAGGGAGGGACGGGAGAGAAAGGGGGGAGGGAAGGGAGGGATGGAAGGCGGAAGGGTGGAGCGAGGCACGCCAAACACCCTCTCTGACTGCAGCAGGCCCCGCATTGTGATGCTCACCGCCCTGTGATGGGGATGGAGGGAGAGAAGGAAGGGCAAGGAAGGAAGGGCATGGAGGAAAGGAAGAGGGCAGGGAGGAAAGGAAGAGGGCTGGGAGGAAAGGAAGAGGGCAGGGAGGAAAGGAAGAGGGCTGGGAGGACAGGAAGAGGGCTGGGAGGAAAGGAAGAGGGCAGGGAGGAAAGGAAGAGGGCTGGGAGGACAGGAAGAGGGCTGGGAGGAAAGGAAGAGGGCAGGGAGGAAAGGAAGAGGGCAGGGAGGAAAGGAAGAGGGCTGGGAGGAAAGGAAGAGGGCTGGGAGGAAAGGAAGAGGGCTGGGAGGAAAGGAAGAGGGCTGGGAGGAAAGGAAGAGGGCTGGGAGGAAAGGAAGAGGGCTGGGAGGAAAGGAAGAGGGCTGGGAGGAAAGGAAGAGGGCTGGGAGGAAAGGAAGAGGGCTGGGAGGAAAGGAAGAGGGCTGGGAGGAAAGGAAGAGGGCTGGGAGGAAAGGAAGAGGGCTGGGAGGAAAGGAAGAGGGCTGGGAGGAAAGAAAGAGGGCTGAGAGGAAAGGAAGAGGTCTGGGAGGAAAGGAAGAGGGCTGGGAGGAAAGGAAGAGGGCAGGGAGGCAAGGAAGAGGGCTAGGAGGCGAGGGACAGAAGGGGCATGGGAGGAAAACGGTGGCTTCTGGATTGAATCAAGGTCGCCTCGGCGTCAACCGCCCTCTCTGAGTTCAGCAAACCTTGCCTCGTGACGTTCACTACCCTGTGATGGAAGGGGATGGACGGATAGAACAGGGCAACGATAAGTGTTCTTATTCTTGTATAACCAGCCGGGGAATGCTGATGTGAGGTGGGACGACACGGCACAAGGCGACTCGCTTGATTGAGACGGACTGGGTAACAAGGAAGCCACTCACTTGGGATAGACGGTGAGGTAGCGAGCGGTATCCATCACCCAGGAGAAGATGGGTGTGCCGGTGAGACAGCATAGCGCATGCCTTGCTTCCAGCACTGCCCCTGGCTGAACGCCTTCCATGCGATGGGCTTCATGACGTCTGACACCTGTCTCCATACCACCAGTCAGACGCTAAACTCACTTGGGATAGGCGGCGAGGTAGCGAGCGGTGCCCATGACCCATGTGAAGATGGGTGTGCCGGTGCAATACAGCATGTCCTCCGGCCATGCCTGCCCCTGGGCGAACGCCTTCCATGCGACGGTCTCTGTGGCGTCTGACACCTGCCTCCACGCCACCAGCACTCGGAACATGTGGCGCCAGCTCGTCATGAGGTCAGATCGGTCCAACAGACTCTGCCCACCCCCACGGCTGCTGCTGCTGCTGCTGCTACCGCTGCTGCTGCTGTCAGTGCTGCTTTCCTCAGTGCCTTCAGCCACGCTGCTGCCACCGCCGCCGCTGCTGCTGCTTTGACGGCTGCGGCCAGTGCGCTGCCCGCCCAGCCTCTGCTGCTGCGCCTCCTCCAGCTGCTCCCGCCACAGCTCCCGCCCCCCACTCGCCCCGTCGGCCGCACCTGCCCCACCGTCCCCATCCCCCGCGTCGGCCCCAAAGAGCAAAGGGGCGATGCGCATCTGATCCGCAATGAGCAGCAGCGTGCGCCTCACCTGCTGCATCACGTCCAGGGCCGCCAGCCCTGCCATGCGCAGCTGAGGGGTGGAGGACGGGGTGGATGGGTTGGTTGGGGTGAGAGGGGAGGAGAGGCAAGGGGCGATGCGCATCTGATCATGTCTAGGGCCGCCAGCCCTGCCATGCGCAGCTGAGGGGTGGGAGGGGAGGATGAGGGAAGAGAAGGAGAGGAGGGAGACTGAGTTGCGTGGTCACAGGGGCAACGCGGGGAGCAGTTGGTGCTGCTGCAGGCGTTGCATGAACGGACATTGGAACTTGCAACACACTATGCCACTGCTTGTCATACACGTGTGCTTTGAGTTGACTCAAAACTCACCTCACAATCAGTATCATTCTGACTGTGCCATGCCATGCCATGCCATGCCATGCGGGCCTGCTGGGGAGCAGCATGCCATGCCACGACAGACCATGCCACGCCATGACATGCCATGCCATCACATGCCATGCCATGCCATGCCAGGCGCACCTGCTGGGTGTTATGCAGCATGCCATCGGTGTCGTAGTGAGTGCGAGCACCAATCACGTCCGCCGCTTCCACCAGCTGCACTGCCGCCCCTGACAGGCGCGGCAGTCGCTGCCACGTGGCAGCTTGCAACTGGTGCACGGGGATCGCCAGCGGGACGAAGCCCGGCAGCTCCTCCGGCCGCCCCCCCGTTGCCCACTTGTCCTGGCGCCCATGGGGGGAGAAGAAGGGGTGGGTGAGAGGGAGGTGCACAAGGGGAGGGGTGAGGGGAGAGGGGGAAGGGGAGAGGTGGGGAGGGGAGGGGAAGAGCAGGGAAGAGTGGGGATAATTAGGGGAATTGAGCTGTTCCGTGGGAAAACGGTAAGCTTGATAGAAGAGGTCCACGCTTGCCCGTCAAGCTTGACACAAGGGCAAGCCTTCCATTCCACCACCCCCATCACGTGTCCCTGACGCCTTCCTGTCCACCCTTCTCCATCTCTCACCCTTCTCTCCCTCTCCTGCTCACACTGTTCTCTCGCCCTCGCCCTCTCACCCGCCACTCCTCGTCAAGGTCGTTATTCAAGTCCCCTTCTCCCACCCACGTTTCCCCCTCGCCCTCTCGCCCTGCCCCACTCGCCCGCCACTCCCCGTCAAGGTCATCGTCAATGCGCAAGGCAGAGAAGGGCTGGGCGAGGCGCGACACAGTGTAGGCGAGCCAGCAGGTGGCGTTGAAAGAAGGTCCTGCCTCGGTGTTCTCTCCCTCTCACTTTGTCTCTTCACTCACACGTGCCCTATGTCTCCCACCCTCCACTCCACTCCCACCCGCCACTCTCACCCCCCACTCTCACCCGCCACTCCCACCCCCCACTCCCACCCGCCACTCCTCATCAAGGTCGTCATCGATGCGGAAGGCAGAGAAGGGCTGGTCGAGGCGCGACACCGTGTAGGCCAGCAGGTGGCGCTGAAAGAAGGTCCTGTCGCGGTATGATGTCTGCTCGCCCGGTTGAACGGGTGAGGAGAGCAGCTCGTCGTACAGCCGCATCTGGTGGGGGTGGGGAGGCACGGGGCAGAAGGTGAGTGCATGGGATGACATGGTGTAGGCCAGCAGGTGGCGAGAAGGTTTTGTCGCGGTATGACGATCGCTCGCCGGACGCATCTGGTGGGGTGAGTGTCAGGGAGGGAGGGGAGACGAGCATGTGGCAGACGATGAGTGCATGGCATGTCGTGGTGTGGTATGGTATCGCATGGTATGGCACGGCATGGCATGGCAGGGCATGACGTGATGTGGCGTAACATTGCTGCATGTGCGGGAGGAGAGGAGAGGGAGGTCGCATGACTCACAGCAGCAGCATGCTCGCCCAGCATGTGCAGGCTGGACGCCTTAGCGTGCATGACCTCCAGGTCGCCTGGGAATGCCTTGAGCCCCGCGTCTGCCATGGGAACGACTCCCCTGCCCAGTCGCACATGCACATGCACATGCACGCATAACACCACATAGGTGGGCACACATAACACCACATAGGTGGGCACACATAACACCACATAGGTGGGCACGCATAACACCACATAGGTGGGCACGCATAACACCACATAGGTGGGCACGCATAACACCACATAGGTGGGCACGCATAACACCACATAGGTGGGCACGCATAACACCACATAGGTGGGCACGCATAACACCACATAGGTGGCCACGCATAACACCACATAGATGGGCACACATAACACCACATAGGTGGGCACACATAACACCACATAGGTGGGCACGCATAACACCACATAGATGGGCACACATAACACCACATAGGTGGGCATACATAACACCACATAGGTGGGCACACATAACACCACATAGGTGGGCACACATAAGACCACATAGGTGGGCACACATAACACCACATAGGTGGGCATACATAACACCACATAGGTGGGCACACATAACACCACATAGGTGGGCACACATAACACCACATAGGTGGGCACACATAACACCACTTAGGTGGGCCAGGGAAGAGGAGACGAGACAAGGCGTGGGCGAGGCGAGGGAGAGGGAGGGAAAACATACAGAGCGTGGAATTTGAGATGAGATGATTGGGTGGAGGGGCGGAGGGGTGGAGGGGTGGAGGGGTGGAGTGGTGGAGAGGTGTAGAGGTGGAGGGGTGGAGGGGTGGAGGAGTGGAGGGGTGAAGGGGTGGAGAGGTGGAGGGGTGGAGGGGTGGAGGGGTGGAGAGGTGGAGGGGTGGAGGGGTGGAGAGGTGGAGGGGTGGAGAGGTGGAGGGGTGGCCGGTCGGTGGTGGGTGGTGGGTGGTGGAAGGTGGGTGGTGGATGGTGGGTGGTGGATGCTCACCAGTGATCTCCCAGCAGTCGCCTCTGCAGCACCAGGTTGTGATGCGGCTCTAGTATCCTGCCATGGACGTCGATTAGTAGTGAGAGAGAGTGAGAGAGAGAGAAAAGGCACTGGCACCTAGCCCTCTTTCTCGGCCCTCTGCCCTCTTCCTCTGAGCCTTAGGGTTTATGGTTTCGGGTTTAGGGAGGCTGTGCGGATCAGATCAGGGCAGAGAAGCAAAGAGCAAAGAGGAGCGTAGAAGAGATCCGACTGCCCGAGCTGGAGTGAGAGCAGGAATTTCCTCCCTCTCAGCCTGGTCCGTGTTGACTTTTGAGTCGACTCAAAGTTCAACAGAGTACATACTGTCCGAGCGGGAGGCAGCAAGGGAGGGCGTGAGGATCAAATAGCAGAGAAGAGCAGAGCAGAGCAGGCAGAGTACATACTGTCCGAGCTGGAGCGAGAGCAGGAGGTCCCTCTCAGCATGGTCGGTCTCCCCCAGCAGGCGGTGCAGGCGCCCCTTCTCCTTGCGCAGGTCCGCATCCAATGGGAGCAGCTCCACCGCCCGAGCCAGGTACGGCTGTGCCGCCCGGAACTGGTTCGACCGCACCAATGCAATTCCCTGGTGGGGAAACGGGGAAAAGTGGGGAAAGAGGGGGGAGAGTGGAGGAGTGGGGAGGAGGAAGAAGTGGGGTATGGGAGGAGGGGAGGGGGGGAAAGGGGCATGGCTGTAGCGGGGAGGCAGTAGGGAGGGCGGCTGGGAGAAGCGGTGCTGAGAGGCACAGGAGGAGAAGGCGGGGGTGTAGCGGAACAATGGCTGCAGTGGGATGACCTGGCAGGCAGGCCACCTGGGCTGCGCTGTGCTGGGCTGGACTGCTTGTCTCGAGTCTCACCACGGCTTGGTTGAGGTCGGCGTCGTTCGGCAGCATGTGCAGCGCGGGCAGCAGGTCTTTGAGAGAGTCCTTGAAGCGATACAAGTTGAACGCGCTCAGCCCTGCGATACGCGGGTGAAGGGGGAGAGGGGAGAAGGGGGGGGGAGAGGGGGAGGGGAAGGGGGGAGTTGGGGGGGAAATGGGAAGGAGGAAAGGGGGGCAGCAGGTCTTTGAGGGCGTGCTTGAAGCGGTAACAGTTGAACGCGCTCATCCCTCAAAGGGGGGAGGGGGGTGAAGGAATAAGGTGTTTAGGAGAAATTTCAAAAGCAGGAACTGCTGAAGTCGCTCATTCCCGCACGGGGTTGGGGAGTTGGGGAGGAGAGAGCAGGCAGAGTTGGGACGGTGAGGCACTAAAGTCGGCAGTGGCATTGCCGATGCACGTTCTTCTTGGCACATGCACACCAACCCTGTCAGAACTGAGCTTGAACCGATGCATTATTATTGATCTCAAAGCTCTTTAAGTACATAAGAATAGAGCACGGAATGGATGAAGGAATTGGGGGTGATCCCTAGGGGATCAGGTGCAATCCCAAGACAATCTCCAATTGGTAGGTTGGAGATTGCTTGGTGATCACATTTGAGCTTGGTTGGGATGTGGGTGTACACCCAACCAAGCACAAAGTGCAAACTACACTACTCTAGGATATAAAAGTACAAAAACAAAAGTTGAGATTGAGGTCTAGCTCTAACACATCCACCGCACCACACCACACTACACCACACCTGAAAGCACTGCGCACCTGTTCACCGTGCCTCCCCTCCCCTTTCCCACGCACCTCGCCGTTTGAGCGCCTCCGCATTCCCTGGTTGCAGCAGCAGGGCACAGCTGAACGCCTCGTGCGCCCTCTCGTGCTGTCCCAGCGCCTCACGCTCCACCCCCACCTCCATCCACAGCTCTGCACTGTCGGGATTGGCGCTCGCTGCCTGCGGGGGAGGAAAGGAGAGGCCAGAGAGCCTCGTGATGAGATTCTTGAATCGGCCGACTCGAAAAACACCTCCATCCTCAGCTCTGCACTGCCAGGGTTGGCGCTGACTGCCTGTATGGGAGGAGAAGCCAGAGAAGCACATTTTGTGATAAGATGTGGGTTGCCTGGGGCAGTCACCTCTTTCCACAGCTTTGCACTGCCAGGGTTGGCGCTCACTGCCTGTATGGGAGGAGGGGCAGGGAGCACGCATGCAAAGGCTTAGGGGGAGAGCGCTTCACAGAACGCACTTTGCTGTGGCGCTGCAGATATTTTTCCCCATGCTGCGCCTGCCTCCACCCACAGCCGCGCGTTGATGATAAACTGTTTTTGAGACGTCCCAAAAAACAGTTTGTTTTTCCCACGCTGCGCCTACCTCCATCCACAGCCGCGCGTTGCTGGGGTTGGCGGTCACTGCCTGTGGGGGAGTGAGGGAGGGTGCGCGCAGAGAGAGGCTGAAAGGGCCTGACATGAAGGTATGGTTTGTGTGACAAGGGGGTGACAATACAGAGGGTGCGCAAGAAGCAATAGGGATGTGACAGTAACGAAAGGGAGGACCTGGCTTGTCACGTCCCAACATGTCATGCCGGACATGTCACGCCTAACATGTAAAGCCCGATCGTCATGCGGTGCCAGGGCTTAAAGCCCGATCGACATTCGCTGCCAGGGACAAAGCTATGCCGGTCTGCCCCACATGATGCGGCGCCAGGGGCTTGGGCTCACCTGCTCGAAGTCCGCAACAGCCGGCTCGTGCATGTGCAGCAGCGACTTGGCCACGCCTCTCCCGTGCTGCAGTCGCTCGTACAGCCGCCGCAATGGCCGCTCCGCCTGTGGTGTGGGGCAACGGAGGGCGGTTGGGAGCAGCAGAGGAAGGAGGCTTCAAGGGATCTTGTTTCATCTCGCCGCGCTGCGCACCTCGTTGCGCACCTCATTACATCTCGCCTCGAACCTCGTTACATCTCGCCGCTCACCTCGTTACATCTCGCCGCGCACCTCGTTACATCTCGCCTCGCACCTCGTTACATCTCGCCGCGCACCTCGTTACATCTCGCCGCGCACCTCGTTACATCTCGCCTCGCACCTCGTTACATCTCGCCGCTCAGCTCGTCACATCTCGCCGCTCACCTCGTCACATCTCGCCGCTCACCTCGTCGTATGTGGCGACAGCCTCTAAGAGCCGGTCGCCTTCCAGCTGGTCGCGTCCCTCCGCGATTAAAGCCATCATTCGCTCGCTCACGCGCCGCGCCACCTCCGCCTCGCTGCTTCCGCCGCCGGCGCCGCCGCCGCTGCTGCTGTCGCGGCTTACGCTGTTGCCATTAATGGTGGAGCTGTTATCATCATCTACAAGCGAGTCGTTGACGGCAGCATTAATCCGCCGCGCGTCCCGCTCACGAGAACCGGAGCGACTCGGCGCACATGTCTCTTCATTTCCCAGGCAATAACCACCCAGCGGCGTTTCTGCCGCAACTTCCGCCGCAACTGACGCTGCCGGATCTAACGCCACGTTTGCCGCCGGATCCAACGCAGGAACGCTAACGCTCTGAATGCCAGGCGCGGTGAGATTAATGGGACTACATCCGTCGTCCGGCTGCTCCGCCAGCAGCCGCGTCGCGTGACTGCCGGCGCATTCGAACGTGCCGATGAGGACAACCATTGCCGCCCAAGCTATTAAACTCTTGCTCAACGACCGAGTCCGGCCGCGGCCATGCGACGGAAACGCCATTTTGCGGCCGAAACGTCTTATAGGGCTTTGACTCCGGCTCAGATGTCGTCGCGCGCATCGGCGATACAAGCGAGGCGGCTCGAACGATATTTCCAGAGAATGAGAACGAGCAGTCGACCAACGAACCACAAAGCAACGAAGAATGGTAAGAGTGAGGAATTTTCTTGACGCGAGCTCTAGAACTTCTACTCGACGCGAGAGGAAAGGGAGTCCACTCAGTGCTCAACTTGAGCGAATACATGCGCCGAGGCTGCTTCGTACAGATAGAGCCGACATAACTTGAGAATGTATGGGGGGGAAGGTCATTTGTGTGGTCTCCTCCTTCCCAGGGGGTCTGTCTCCACCGTCGACCGCCATGCTTCTGCAATGGGAGTGACTGCAGGCGATTTCGTTGTTTTCAGGGCTTACCAACTAGGCGTAAGCGGTGAAGGACACATATTTGTGCGGCAAGACGGTCACCCTCTCGCCTGAGAATGCGATCTGAGATGGGCAGTGAAGTGAGGGACCGATGATGATGATGTTATGTGAGTGACTCGTCGGCGGCAACCTCCCTGACGAGCCTCCAAACTTCCCATTGGTGGCTGCCTGGACCTCGAGTGTTGCGCTGCTGCTTTCCATTATTCCCCACCGGGGTCGTCGACGTGATTTTAGAAAGGTGGAGAAAGACTTTGTAGGACTATGAACGGTAATTTAGGAACATGGCGGGATTATGAGGTGATAAAGGATCGTCTCGTCTCCTTGCAGCAGGAATGCTCACCTCGCCGCGAATTTCCAGCGTGGGTTGCTGTCGTCGTTCGCCGACACCTCTGCTGCTACGACGTGCGGACTTGTCGTCACTCTCGGCAAGCTCAAAGTGGATATCCTTGATAGTGGTACGGAGATGCATTTATTGAGACTTAAAAACAATTGAGTACGGTCAATATTATATATATGTGAGGTTGTTTAGTTAGTATTGTGCTAATTGCTTAACATTGTTGAAGAATGTAACAAAACTTTTATATCTAAGTTTTAAAGCATAAAAAAATGTCTAATGCTTGTGTTGAATGATCTATTTTTAGCGAGAGTGAGTGAGCCAGACCAAGAGAGTGAAGATAGAGGGAGGGCGAGGAGAGAGGGCGAGCATTCAAGCATGGACTAAGCAAAGCCAGAGACAAACGGACTCTGAAAGAGAGGGCCCGGGAAGGGAGGCGGAGAGGTGGAGAGGCGGGCAGGCAGGCAGGCAGCCGGGGTAGCACGGTTAGGCACAACTTCGTATATACAGTTGTGTTGAAGAATCTCAAACAGCACGCACTTACTGCCCCTGCCAAGAGCACAAGGTTTCCCTGCTGCGTAATGATGACCAGATGGCACATGGCGCATACATGCCTACATGCGAGGAGCTGCGCATGCATTGGGGTGTGGGTTGCGGAGGGAAGGGAGATGGGTGAAAGGGGGGATGAATGAAAAGGGATGGGTGAAAGGAAGTGGGTGGAAGGGGGATGGACGGAAGTGGGATGGACAGAAGGGTGTTGAGTTCGGATCACATGGAGCAGAGGGGAGACGAGCAACATGCAAGTGTCTGTGAGAAGGAAAGAGGCACAGCAAAGGCATGGGAGGGCGTGGGAGGCTGTGGGAGGCTTCGGGGTGCCGAGGGAGGGCGAGGGAGGGCAAGGGGGGGCGAGGGAGGGCGAGGGGGGGCGAGGGGGGGCGAGGGAGGGGCGAGAGAGGGCGAAGGGGGGCGAGGGGGAGCGAAAGAGGTCGCGGAAGGGCGTGGAAGGGTGTGAGGCGATGGTACCTCCGCCAATGGTGGCCTCAGGCATTCGCTCAATGGAGTACTTGCGCTGCGTTATGTACATTATGGGCACTCCCGGCACCTGCGAGGCGGGGGGGGAGGGGGTGGGCGGGGGGGGAGAGAAGGGGGCGGGATGATCATGCTGTAGCCGCCTCAAGCATGAAACGATGGAGTGCTTGCGCAGCGGTATGTACATTATGGGCACTCCCGGCACCTGATGATTGAGGAAAGGGGGGAAATGAGGAGGGCGGAGAGGAGGTTGGGGAGGGAAGATGGCCAATGCACAGGTTACGCACACTACGGGCACACTTGGCACCTGCAAGGAGAGGGTTGGAAAGGGGAGGAGGGGCGGGAAAGAGAATGCCAATGCACATGTTACGTACATGATTTGCGCCGGAGTAGGTGTGTGTGCGTGCATGTTGAACGAAATAAGTGTGTGTATGTGTGCATGTGGGCGTGCATGCGTTTTCACCAAATAAATTGTGTATATGTATGTGCGCATGCGGGTGGAGTAGGTGTGTGTGCATTCGTGTTCACCGGAAAAACGTGTGTACGTGTGCATGTGGCCGGCGTAGGTGTGTGTGCGTGTGTGCGTGAGTAGGTGTGTGTGTGTGGCGCGTGTGCGAGTGAGTAGGTGTGTGCGTGCGTGCGTGCGTGCGTGCGAGCGAGCGTGCGTGTGTGTCCGTGTGCGTGCATGTGTGTGTGTGTGTGTGTGTGTGGCGGAGTAGGTGTGTGCATGTGAGCGCCTGAGCGCACGAGCTCTCACCTTGCGGATGCGGCGCTTGAGGTCACGATCGCACGTGGCCACGATGTAGCACTTGTGCTGCGCAGCACACAGCGAAAAGAAAGGACACGTGGGCAAGGGAGAGAGGGGAGGGGCACGAGGGCACGGAAAAAGGAGCAGGGAGAAGAGGGCAGGAGCATGGGTGCAGGAAAAATGGGCCAGGGGGGAAATGGGAAGAACAAGAAGGTTGGGAGGTAGGTGGGGACACAGCAGGGACTGGTGCTGCACAATACGGCCGAGGAACACGTAACAGGTAAGAGCGGATAAACACGAAAGCGGATGGGCTTAGGGAGGAGAAGCAAGAAACAAGGCCAAGGAGGGTTGACGCCATACATGCCAGGATGGGGAGATGAGGGGAAGGTGTGGCAGTAGGGGTGACAAGCGATGGTGATAAAGCACACAAGAGACATGATGGTGCAGGTGTAGCTTGTGACAGCAGCAGTCATGGCGAGAAGGGACAGCCGTCGTGTGATAAAAAGAGCAGACAGCCAGCAGTCATTTACCACCTGAGTGGGCGTCTGTCTGTGGCAGTGGGCGTCTGTCTGTGGCAGTGGGCGTCTGTCTGTGGCAGTGGGCAGTCATAACATAACTCATGCGCACCTGAGTGACTCGCTGCACGAGGCAGTCGTCTGCATAGGTGCCTGCATGGCTGCATGGCAGGCGGAGAAACGACGGTGACTTGGCTATTCTGCATGTGCAGGCACAACGGGATAGGGGGAAGAGGGAGGGAGGGAGAGAGCGAGGTGGAGGGTGGGAAGGAAAACATGTGTTAGAGAATGTGAGGGCCACAAGTGCAGCGCAACTCGACACACTCGCACTGCTGCCTCCTGTGTGCGGCCACTCAGCAGAACAGAGAGCTGAAAGATGAGGACGAGAGTGTGATTGAGGCGCGAGAGATGAGGATGTGACGGAGAGGAAGTTGGAAAGAGGGCAGGAGCGAGGGCAGGGAGGAGGGCAGGAGGGAGGGGAGGCACCTGAGCGCCACTCGGTACATCTGACCCGCCTGAGCGCCACTCGGTACATCTGACCCACCTGAGCGCCACTCGGTACATCTGACCCACCTGAGCGCCACTCGGTACATCTGACCCACCTGAGCGCCACTCGGTACATCTGACCCACCTGAGCGCCACTCGGTACATCTGACCCACCTGAGCGCCACTCGGTACATCTGACCCACCTGAGCGCCACTCGGTACATCTGGCCGAGCTTCTCCAGCTCTGCCAACACACAGTCCGTTATGCATGGCGTGCCTGCTCTCCCATGCATGCATGCACATGGGTGGTCACATGCACACAGGCAGGCACACACAACGCACACAGGCAGGCACACACACACAGGCAGCCACACACACACAGGCAGACACACGCACACAGGCAGGCACACGCACACACACAATGCACACAATGTTGTTGGAGGCAGAAGGGAGGACGCAAGGAGGGGCAGAAATGGAGTAGCTGAGGATGGAACGCGGAGGGATGGCCTGAGGAGCACAGACGAGTGCATGCGTGCAATGGCCGGCCAGGCCAAAAGAGAGCCAGCTGTGGCAAGGCAGGCGGAGAGGCCATGAGAAGAAGTCATGGGAGATCGTGGGTGATCATGGGAAACTATGGGATCATGGGA